TTCTTGTCATGGCTCTCATTTCTTTAGGATATATACCTAGTAATGGAATAGCTGGGTCAAACGGTATTTCTAGTTCCAACTTTTGAAGGAATGGCCATACTGCTTTCCACAATGGCTGTCCTATTTTACAGTCCCACCAGCAGTGTATGAGAGTCCCAATCTCTCCACATCCTCACCAGTCTATCCAAACTTTTAAAAGTGGAAAACAAGTCTATGGGTTTGATGTAGGTTGTTTTTACAGATTTTTAAGAAGTAATTATTTTAAAAAGGTCCCTCTTCTAGTAATCATTATATTCTCTCATACTAATTCCTAATGTGCACAGGAGGTCACGACATTTTTCAGTATTTATTTCACAGGCAGTGTGAAGTCAATGGTTCTTTCAAAATCAAAACTCAACTTAGGGCTCAAATTCGGTGATGACAGGCCAAGTCTTAATTTTTTCATTCAGCATCAGGAAGGAAATCTAGAAAAGTTAGGTTCTTGTATGTCTGTGAATTACCTTAGACCATGGAAGCTCACAGTATGTTAAAAAGAGGAAGAGATCTTAAAAATGTTCTGGTTCCACTCTTTATTATAGAGGCAAAAACTGAGGCCAAGAGAAGTTCAAGAGTTGCCTGGGTTACTCAGTAAATTACTAGAAGACCATTATAGAACTTAGCTCTTCTTACTGTTAATCCAGTGCTCTTGACATGAGGCTTTTCATGTTAGTACTCAACATTATAGCACATTGGTTAACCTTGGGTTCGTGAGTCAGAAAGATCTGAGCTCAGATCCCAGCTCTGCTACTTATTAACTATGCAACCTTGGACAAATTAAATCACTTAACTTCTCAGAGCCTGAAGATAGAAATCTGAAAAATGGAGATAACAGTTATTTCAAAAGGTTTTTTGTGAGGATGAAATGGGATCATCACATAAGTGCTACATTACACTATATTAATATAATAAAATGCTTGGCCCTCAATATGTGCTAAACATTATCGTTGTTACTACTATTAGTAAAAACAGCATCTTGAACTCTCTTGATATATATAAATAAAACAAGATTCAAATACCACACAATGGAATATTACTCAGCCGTAAAAAGGAATTAAGGTCTGACATAAGCTATAATGTGGATGAATCTTAAACAAATATGATAAGTGAAAGAAGCCAGTCAGAAAAAAAATCACTTGTTATATAACCACTGAGCTATGCACTTTAAATGGGGAATTGCAACCTATGTGAATTATATCTCAATAAAGCTGTTACAAAAAAAAAAAAAAAAAAATCAAATAAATGCTTGATGAATAAATGTTGAGTGTAAAAGGTCTTATTCACACCAGATACTCTCCACTGAATTCTTCTCGTCTTAGTCCTTTGAAATATTTCATAATTTAAAAACATTATTTTAAAACTGAAAAGTATAGAAAATAACAGATACATGAGTATCTTTACCCAGATTTAACAGATGTCAATAATCTGCTGTATTTGCTTTAGAGCTCTCACTTTTTTTCTTTCAGAAATAAAACATAACAGATACATATAGCTTTTGCTAGCCCTTCTACAAACCATTCTTCAAAATGTCCTTTTGCCTTAGGATATAGACTGTTAACTCAGAGGTGACTGTCAGATGATGGCAATATGGCAGACACATAAGCAGTGATTAAAATAAAACCACTCCAGGCATCCACAATACACCAGTGTACTAGTTGGGAATTATTATTTTATATTTTGAAAAGTCTGGAGAAGGTGCGTTGCCTTTCAATGCTTCATTATGTGTTTTCTCTTTATCCGTAAAAATGTATTTTACCTGTGAGAGCAGAGTCTGCATGATTGAATTGGCCAGCTGAGAATTCCTTCGAAGGACATCATAGAACCCCTAAAAGGCATCAAGTAGAAAACAAATAAGCTCTTTAATAGAGATTGATCTGGACAATCACAACTTTAAAATAACACTATATATTTCTTTAGCAACAATTGTGAGGATGACACGGGACAATGACAAAATGAGAATTGACAAAAAAAATTTTTTTTGAAAGAGATGAAACAAAAGGAGATGAGTCCTACCAGGTAATGAAATATTTCACAAATATGTAACAATAAAAACACTTGGCCTTGCACAAAATCTACAGACAAAATAAAAGAGTAGCATACAAATTGATTTAGTATACATAAAGGAGGCAGTATGTTTGAACAACTGGTTAATCTGGGGGAAGGCTAGCTTCTTACGTATCTTATAAAAAATATTCTAGATGAATCAAATAGCTAAACATAAAAAACACAAGTATGAAAAAAAACAAGAAGAAAATACAAGCCATCCATCCATATGTGTGTGTGCGTATACACACACACACAATATATATATGTATATATATTGTGTGTGTGTAGATATATATATATCTTGTTGTTTGCCATCGAGTCGGCCCTGACTCATAGCGACCCCTCCTTGGGTTTCCGAGGCAGTATCACTACGGAAGTAGGATTGCCCAACCTTCCTTCCAAGGAGTGGCTGGTGGGTTTGAACCACCAGCCTTCTGGTGAGCAGTCAAGTGCCTTAGGCACTATGCTACCAGAGCTCCCTATATATCTATATCTATATCTATATCTATATCTATATCTATATACACACACATACACACACATATATATGCAAAAAGAATCATCTCCTTGGATGATAAACTCACTTACTGGAAGGAGATGAACTCATAAAAATAGAAGATGTCTCAAAGGAAAAGATCAATATGCATAACAATGAAAAATTAACATTTCTGTAGGACAAAAAAAATCATAGGGAAAAAAAGGGCAATCAAGCATACACTTACAACAAACATGACACAGGTGTATATACCAATAAAATACAAAGAGTTCTCACAAACCAATGAGGTACTGTGTAAGTCTTTGATGAATAAATGAATACCAATATCCTAACAGGTTTAAGTCATGGTCCATTTCAAGTTAATTTTTTAATTGGAGCCAACCAAGGTTGATATATATATATATATATTAATATATGGATGACTCTGCAGAAAAGAGCAAACAAAGCAACCCTGAGACTGCCCATCTTTAGAAAGGCCTCCTTGTGAAGTTGGTCCTTGGCTGGCTTCTAGGAACCTGGCTGGTTAACAGTTCCCTATACTGATTAAAAAAAAAAAAACTTTCCCTAAATGATAAGACTTGCTCACTATGCCTGAACTGTTTATACAAACAAAGTGGTTTATGAGGAACATTTGCTTTCTTTCTGAGAGCTCAGAATTTTGGTATATGCTGAGGGGTGTTGACATATATAAGCATAACAAGTCCCCAGGAAAAACCGTGGGTGGTGATTCTCTAATGAACTCGCCTACCCACTGCCATCAAGTCAATTCCAACTCACAGAAACCCCCATAACGTTTTCAAGCCTATAAATCTTTATGGAAGTAGACTGTCTCATCTTTCTACCAAAGTGGCTAGTGGATTTAAACCTCTGACTTTCTGGTTAGCAGCTCAATGTCTTGACCACAGTGCTACCAGAGTTCCTAATCAACTTCCCTAGAAGATAACAGTTTGCATGTGTTATTACCCATCACTCATCTGCCAGTTTGTCATATTGTGGTGGCTTGCTCTTAAATGGAGAGTAGCTAAAGCAAATGGATGAAATGAAGTGAAAGAGCTGAACTGATTTCAAAGGGCAGCACAAGATTGCAAAGTAAAGTATTATAATGAAATATGCAAAGAAGTAGAATGAGAAAATCAAAAGGGAAGATGATGCTCAGCATTTGTCAACTGAAAGAAAAAATTCAAGCCTTGAGTTGCAATATTTAAGGATTCTACGGGTAAAATACTGAGATGGAAGGAATACACAGTCATCGTACAAAAAAGAATTGGTTGACATTCAACCATTTCAGGAGGTAGGCTACGACCAAGAAACAATGGTATTGAAGGAAGAAGTCCAAGCTGCACTGAAGGAACTGGTGAAAAATAAGTTTCCAGGAACTGATAGAATACTCATTGAGATGTTTCAACAAACAGATGCAATGCTGGAAGCACTTGATCGTTTATGAAATTTGGAAGACAACCACTTGGCCAAATGACTGGAAGAAATCCGTATTTGTGCCCATCCCAAAGACAAGTGATCCAAAAGAATACGGAAATTATCGAACAGTATCATTAATATCACACGCAAGTAAAATTTTGCTGAAGGAAACAAAAATAGTTGCAGCAGTATGTTGATAGAGAACTTGCAGAAATTCAAGCCAGAGTCAGAAGAGGATGTGGATTGAGGGTTATCTTTCGGATGTCAGATGGATCTTGGCTAAAAGCATAGAATACCAGAAAGATGTCTACCTGTATTTTATTGATTATGCAAAGGCATTTGACTATGTGGATAACAAATTATGGATAACACTGTGAAGAATGGGAATTTCAGAACACTTAATTGTGCTCATGAGGAACCTGTACATAGACCAAGAGGCAGTTGTTCAAAGAGAACAAGAGGATAATGCATGATTTAAAATCAGGAAAGGTGTGTATCGTTTCATCATACTTATTTAATCTGTATGCAGAGCAAATAATCCAAGAAGCTAGACTATATGAAGAAGAATGTGACATCAGGATTGGAGGAAGACGCGTTAACAACCTGTGATAGGCAGATGACACAACCTTGCTTGCTGAAAGTGAAGGAGACCTGAAACACTTACTGATGAAGATCAGAGACTGCAGCCTTCAGTATGGATTATACTTCAACATAAAGAAAAGAAAAATCCTCATATCTCGACCATAAGCAACATCATGATAAATGGAAAAAAGACTGAAGTTGTCAAGGGTTTCATTTTACTTGGTTCCACAATTAATGCCCATGGAAGCAGCAGCCAAGGAATCAAACAATGTACTACACTGGGCAAATCTGCTACAAAAGACCTATTTAAGTGTTAAAGAGCAAAAGATGTCACTTTGAAGACTAAGGTGCACCTGACTCAAGCCACACTATTTTTAATTGCCTCATCTGCATGTGAAAACTGGACACGGAATAAAGAAGACGGCAGAAGGACTGATGAATTATGGTGTTGGTGAAGAATACTGAATATATCATGGACTTCGAGAAGAACAAACAAGTCTGTCTTGGAAGAAGTACAACCAGAATGTTCCTTAGAAGCAAGAATGGGTGACTTCATCTCTTGTACCTTGGTCATGTTATCAGGAGGGACCAGTCCCTGGAGAGCAGAATCACGCTTGTTAGAGCAGAGGGTCAGCAAAAAAGGGGAAGACCCTCAATGATATGGACTGACACAGTGGCTGCGAGGACAACCTCAAACACAGCAACAACTATAAGGATGACACAGGACCAGGCAGTGTTTCATTTGGTTGTACACAGGGTTTCCATGAATAGGAACCAACTCAAAGGCATCTAAAAACAACAACACATATTGTCACAACTCATTGCTGGAGGAATTAAATGCATCTTGTACAATTACACTTGGAGGGGACTCTCAGAACCTTATACTTCATTTCCTTTGGGCTTCACCTTTTCCCTTTGCTAATTTTGCTTTGTAGCCTTTAACTGTAATAAATAATTTTGCTTTGTAGCCTTTACTGTAATAAATGTTAGCCATGATTCCAAATATATGCTAAGTTCTGTGAGTCCTCCCAGCAAAATCATCAAAGCTAGAAGTGATTCTAGGGACCTCTTCAAACACAATGAACAACTGTTCTAGGATCATTATTGAAAAGATCATCCTTCATCCAATAAATTATCTTGGAAATCTTTATCAAAACTCTAATGACCAACTTTGTACTTTTTAGAATCAACTTTTAAATTTCTACCAAAAAAAAAAAAAAAAAAAGCCTGTTGAGTTTCTAAATGGGACTGTATTGAATCTGCAGATCAATTTGAGACCTAAAATATTAACAATATTGAGCATTCTAATGTGTGAACATGGCACAGTGTACATTTATTTAGCTTTTCTTCAATTTCAGCAGTATTTTGAGGTTTTCAGTGTACATATCTTGCACATATTTTGCTAAATATACACCTATTTAACTTTTATTATATTATTGTATTTTAATTTCCAGATTATTTCTGCTAACATACAGAATTAATTTTTGCATGGTAATTGAACTTGTATTCCATAACCTTCCTAAACTCACTCTAGTAGCTTTCTTTGTAGATTCTTTGGGACTGTCTATGTACACTATGTGAATCAAGACAGCTTTACTTCTTCCTTTCCAATGTGTATGCCTCTTTTTCTCTTTCTTGTTTACTTTACTGGGTAAGACTTTCACTACAATGTTGAACAGAAGTGTTGAGAATAGACTTCCCTGTCTTGTTATCAACTGTAGGAAAAAGCCTTCAGTCTTACACCATTGATTCTAGCTATAGGTTTTTCAAGGGAGCTCTGGTGGCACAGTGCCTAAGACATGTGACTGCTAACCAGAAGGCTAGCGGTTCAAAACCACCAGCAGCTCCTCAGAAGGAAGACTGGGCAATCTACTTTCATAGAGATACCACCTTGGAAACCCAGGGAGGGGTCACTATGAGTTGGATTCGACTTGATAGCAGTGAGTTTGGGGTTTTGGGTAGGTTTTTCATACATGCCCTTTATCAGGTTGAGCAAGCTGTCTTCTAATCCTAGTTTACTGAGAATTACTGCAAGTTTGTATCACGAATGGATGCTGAGCAAAGATTTTTTAATGATTAAAGAAAATGTCAGTGCTTGCCAGGGTGTGCCACAAGACTTTAAATCATTCTAACACACAGGGTTGCTTTGAGTCAGAATTGATTTGACAGCAACTAACAACAACACAACAACAATCTTTGACCTAGCATTGTGGCCAAATACTCAGGTGCAACAATGTTCACAGTGGAAAAACAAGAAACAACTATAACATCCAAAATTAAGGAAACTGTTAAATAAATTACCATACATCCATAAAGAATATTTTATGGCATGTTGCCAAAGAACACTTAATGAAATGGGAAAATGCTTATGGTATAGTATTAAGAGATAAAAACTATATAAAGCTTATGATGTCAATATTGCATAAATATGTATTTTTTGTGGTATAGTAGGATTATTGATATTTTTAAACAGATTTTTCTGTATTTTCCTTTTTTTTTTTTTAATAAGAAGACTGAAAAATCCAGTGCCTGGTACAGTGCCTGGTAACTACTGTACCTCACTAAGTGTTATTTTAAGAATGTGAAATATAGGTATTATAATAGCTGCTCTCTGAAATAAGTGTTGCTTAATTTACATGCTAGATTAATTAATACTGTTCATTCCTTCTATAAAATACGTTTGCTCAAGTTTATGGTATGCTAAATGCTGGAAATTAGTGGGATATCCTTCATAATTGCACACTTGTGTTCCCACTAGCTGAATGACAGTTCAGCTAACCAAAAGTCAGTTTATCTGTCTCAAATCTTTTTGCTAATTGTATGGTCATCATAAATAAAATTATGTCATTTAATCAGACATTTTGTAAACTGTTGAAAACCAAGCACAATAAAAAAAAAGTTTTTTTTTTAATAAAAACTAAAAAGAATGTTTTGGACAGACTTAATAAGATAAGCCTCTAAAAACAGTGACTAATGGTTAGGGGTAAAACTGAACATATCTAGGAAGTCTGTGCACTAAGATTGCACCTGAAGTGTCTTTAAATTTTTATACCACTTTAAACCAAATCTAAACCCAATGCCATCAAGTCAATTCCAATTCATAGTGACCTTACAGGACAGAGCAGAACTGCTCCATAGGGTTTCCAAGGCTGTGAATCTTTATAGAAGCAGACTGCCTCACCCAAGTCCTGTGGAGTAGTGAGTGGGTTCGAACTGCCGATCTTTTGGTTAGCAGCCGAATGCCTTAACCACTGCACTACTAGAGCTCCTTTCACTTTAGGTAAACAAAAATTTGAAATTACAAGCAATAAATTAAGGTATGACTGTTTTACAGAGATGACAGAAGTTCTAAATGGCAGACACATACTCAAAAACAAAACAAACAAAAAGATTAAAAAAAAAACCTTGGCATTAAATCAAAAGATATATCGTATTATAATTATTTATAGTATTATAAAATTTATACTACTGTAATATTTAAATATTATAATTTAAATATTTCAAGTTAAAATAAACATTTAAGATGTTTCAACTCTACCTTAAAATTCCCTACCTTAAACAACTTTGGCATCAAATAAGAGTGTTTCAACTATATAAAGTATAAAGTGATTATAATCAGAAAAGAAAATTATTAAAAGAAAAAAGGATTACTGGTTGGGGGTTATTACACTCCCTCCACTCTGCTGACTTACCTCATAAAGCATGATTCGAACATCAGACTGCTGGCTTAAGCACCTCCTCAAACTGTCCATGATCTCAAGGCAAAACGTTTCATTGGCAACAGAATTATAACGGCTATGAACATCCACGTGGACCTGAAATAAAGAGGCTGGTTCACGTCTACTTTACCAAAGTAATTTCTTATTAAGGAAGTAACATGAGTCTATATTCTTGATTAAAGAAACTTAGGTTTAGCTTTTCCCGCATGCCAATAGCCAGGATCGAGGCAGACATTATAATTGTCACCATGCTGTGATAAGTGTCACTCTTATTCTGCTTTGGAAATAGAGCATTTGCAAGTACTTTAACAAAACGAATTCCTCCCCTATGTCAGCTGCCGAGGAAGGCATACTGATTATTCCATGCCATTTGTACCCAGTAATCATACTATACTGAATTTTACTTAAAAGACCTAAAAGACTTCGTTAAGTGTCTTTAGTAGTAAGAAGAATCTGGCTCTATAAAAAGCATAAGCTTCCACAAATTTTTGAGAGGTTTAAAAGTAAGCAGATACGTAGTTTTAGTTTAGAAATGGACATGACAAAGAACTAACATCCACTGTTTGATTTACATAATAAAATCACTAATTCCTTATTCCACCATAAACCAAAAAAAAGCAAACTCACTGCCGTGGAGTCACATCCGAGTCATAGCGACCTCTCTTTGGGTTTCCGAGGCACTATCTCTATGGAAGTAGATTGCCCAATCTTCTTTCCGAGGAGTGGCTGGTGGGTTTGAAGCACCAGCCTTCTGGTTAGCAGTCAAATGCCTTAGGCACTACGCTACCAGAGCTCTTTATTGCAGCATTGCGAGGTAAAAAACAAAACCAAACTCACTGCTGTCAAGTCCATTTGATTCACAGTGATCCCTCCTTGGGTTTCCCAGGCAGTATCTCTACAGATGTAGGTTGCCCAATCTTCCTGTGGAGGAGTGGCTGGTGGGTTTGAACCGCCAGCCTTCTAGTTAGCAGTCAAATGCCTTAGACAATATGCCACTCAAGCTCCCAGCATAGTGAGGTAGCTAAGACTAAATCAAAAGACCAAACCCCCTGCCATGGTGTCAATGCTGACTTAGAGTGACCCTACAGAGCAGAACAGAACTGCCTCACGATGTTTCCAGGGCTATAAAGCTTTACAAAGCAGACTGCCACATCTTCTCCCACAAAGTGGCTGGTGGGCTCAAATCACTGACATTTTGGCTTCTAGCTGAATGAATGCTTTTACCACAGCACCATGAGACTGCTTAGTTCTATCACTTACTGGTTATATGACCTTGGGTAAGCTATTTAACCTCTTTCAGCCTCAGTTTCCTCATTCTTAAAATGGGGACAATAGTAGCATCTATCCTTAGATGATTACTGTGAAGATTAAATGATATTTCATTTAAAGCACTTAGCATTGTATCTAGCACACTGCTGTCCAACAGAAATATAATATGAACCACAAATGCAAGCCATAGATATAATTAAAAATCTTCTAGTAGACATGTAAAAAAAAAAGTATAAAGCAACCAAAACACAAAACCAAAATCACTGCCATCGAGTCAGATCTGACTCATAGCGACCCCTCCTTGGGTTTCTGAAGCAGTATCACTACAGAAGTAGATTGCCCAATCTTCCCTCTGAGGAGTGGCTGGTGGGTTTGAACTCCCAGACTTCTGGTTAGCAGTTAAATGCCTTAGGCACTATGCCACCAGAGCTGGAGTTAATTTTAAAAATACATTTTATTTAACCTATCTAAAATATTATCATTTCAACATATAAAAAATATTAATAAGAATTTTACATTCTTTTATTTCACCCTAAGTTTTCAAAATCCAGTGTGTATTTTACACTTATAGTACAACTCAATTTGGACTAGCCACATTTCAACCAAGTGTTCAGTTCAATAGCCACATGGAGCTAATGGCTGTAATACTGGAAAGCTCAGATCTAGCACACAGCAAAACTGCTATAATAAATGTTAGTTGCCATCATCATCATCATCACCCCTTTGGTTTCAGGATCATTTTTATAACCAGATAGGAATAAAAGAAAAAAGCTTGCAAATCATCAACTCTTGCATCAATGCACATCAGACAAGTTAGTACGAGCCGTCCTTACCTGACTGACACCAATAGATTGACTGCACTGAGAGGATGACAAGCTGCCTAAGACTTTGAAGTTCTTCAGGAGCAGCAAAAACCCAGCAACTGCAGATTTTCGGGCATCAAGCTGGCTAGCTCAGGAACAGAGAAGAAATTAACAATTCTGCTTTCACAGGACTAGGTTTCTGGGTCAGAAAAATCCAGTTAGTTCTACACAAAGAAGGAATATGTATAAGCAATGAAGAATAAAGCAAACCTAATTGAATTTACATACTCAAAAATAAGGCATCACCTGTTCAAAGCAATCAGCAATACAGGAATTCAGTTGACTTTTTCACCTTTCTCCTGTGGAGCAGCTGGTGGGTTCAAACCATTGACCTTTTGGTTAGCAGCCAAGAGCCAATGGGCCACCAGTTCTCCTTTTTCATTATCTACTTAACCTCATGACACTATCTGTACTTTTCTCTATCCTGTTGATAAGTCTATGAGGGGAATGAGAGTAAGAGTGCTGTAAGGCTGTACAATGGACCAGGAACGCAAATATAAGTACTGAACAGCAAAGAAAATTGATTTTCACTGTGTCTGAAAGTAAACTTCCCTTCTATTTGTTCACAGAAGAATGCAGTGTGTTATGAAGACTCTCCATCTAGAAAAATCACACACTAATCTTCTCACCGAGGATAAATGATTAATTCAACTACAGATGTTAAAACAGCTAAAAAAAACCCATGTATATATTATCCTCAGCCTAAAGTCATGTAGTGAGGAACGTAGAAAACTGGCAATTCCAGAGCAGGGACAACAGCATATGGCTACTTATGAGCTGTTTCTCAGGATTCCATGAGTGTATTATAATAAGCACAATGTGATAATAACTGGGAATCTTGTTCTTAAAATCACCAAATTTTTAGTATTTTTAGATTATATAATCCTTAATTTATATTATACACTAAGAAATAAGACAGGTCAGGAGGCATTGGCTGAACCTCAAACAGAACTTGGGTCCTTCAACAATTTATTCACCCTACTAGCTATTAGACCATAATTCCAATGTTCACTAAACTGAGTTTCTTAATATATTCTTCTGAATTCAGATGATTTCCCCTTCTGAACTGTTGCTAGCTCAGATAGCAGAGTATTTGGCATCAGGACCTTATTTTCATGGTTATTCTACGAGCAGTACAACAGAGTACTTGAGATCATCAAGCTCTGAAATTAGACAGATACATGTTAAAATCCTAGCTCTACCACCTACTACTGTGTGATCTTTGGAAAGTCACTTACCTTCTCTATGCCTATATATTTTTTTTATCTGTAAATAGTAATAGTTCTCACTTCATAGGGTTGCTCTGAGAATTAAATGAGATAAAGCACATAAGGCATTTAGCACAATGCCTCATGTGATGAAAAGTGTTCTGTAAGGTCAATCTGCATGACTGCTGTTAGCAGGCTGTATTGGGAGATGGCAAAGTTAACTTTCAGTTCCAGTATCAGAAGGCATTAGTTCCTACGATTCCAAGGGATGCTACCTACCTGGCAAAAATAGCTTTCCGAAGGACAAGTATAAGGGAATCTCTCATCGACATGCTGACTTTGAGAAGGGGCTGAAAAAGGAAAAATCAGTGGGTAAAAACAGAGCAAGACTATACTAGCCTTAGCTTATTTTGACTCAATACTGTTACCACATGGCTAAAGTAAGGAACTTTGGTTCTGTTTTACATACATATTTCAACGTTTTTTGCATTTCATAATAAGGCCAATAGTATACATACTTTGAAATACTAGATTTAAACTGTTGTTGTTGTTGTTATGTGCTGTCAAGTCGGACCCAACTCATAGCGACCCCTCCTTGGGTTGCTGAGGCAGTATCACTACGGAAGTAGATTGCCCAACCTTCCTTCCAAGGAGTGGCTGGTGGGTTTGAACCACCAGCCTTCTGGTTAGCAGTCAAGTGCCTTAGGCACTATGCTACCAGAGCTAGTATTAACTAATTGTGAAAACATTTGTAAACCTATTAATCTCAATTAATAATTTTCTGAGAGACTTCTAATTACTTCACTGACTTAATAATAGTGGCGTAAAGAGGAATGAGCTAGGAAAAGAGTCTAGCACAGTGTTCCTGCCCTTTGAACACAAAGTTTCATATTTTAGAATCAAGGGGAATAGGATTTCTTAGACATAGTTTTATAATGAAACACATCAAACTTCATTAGACAGTTAAACTTTAGTTTTGGGTAAGTTACTTAGAGGAGTCAATGGCCTTACCTGCACTGCCTTAAGCAGTCCTTGTACAGTTTGAAGGGGCAGAAAGGACAAATAGTCAAAAGTTTCTGTGATTTTAGAAGAACAACTTTGAAGAACTAAAGGTGCATACATGACGATACTTGAGAGCAGGTCTGAAAAACAGAAGCTCTTATCAGTTGTCTCAAATAACTTGAAAATAAATCTGGAGAAAGAAATGTAAAAAGTCTTGTTTCCTTTCCAAATAAGTCAAGCATAAAATCAAAAAAACCAAACCCACTGCCACTGATTCAATTCCAACTCATTGTGACTCCCACCTCAGTTTCCAAGCCTGTAAATCTTTATGGAAGTAGACTGCTTCACCTTCCTCTTGCAGAGCAGCTAGTGGGTTTGAACTGCTGACCCTCTGGTTGGTAACCAAATGCCTTACCCACTACATCACCAGAGCTCCTTAAATATACAGCAATATAAATTTCTACTGACCCTATATATTTTTTTTTATGGCCAATGTAATCAGAATTCTTGAACTTTTTTTAGAGTATAAAAATTAAACTGTCTGACTACAAGATATAACTCATTATACTGCCTAGATAAGTGCCACACAATGTATTCATATTTCCAAGCTCAAATAAAATCAATATATGTATAAATTTTTATTATGTGCAAGCAAAATATTGCCTTATCAAGATTAAAGCATAACACATCTTCCTTCAAGAATTTTAGAAATCTCAATTGGCATAACATACTATACAAAACATTATTTCACCTCCTACTTTGGCGAGTAGCGACTGGGATCTTAAAAGCTAGCAAGCTGCCATCTAGATGCAACGATGGGTCTCTCCTCATCTAGAGCAAAGAA